GTGCGGGGGGTGCGCGCGTGCGTGCGGGGTGCGTGCGTGCGTGCGGGCGGGCGGGCGGCCGGGCGGGTGGGCGGGTGGGCGAGTGTGTGTGTGTGTGTGTGTGTGTGTGTGTGTGTGTGTGTGTGTGTGTTGCCAAACAGCACTCAAACGGCCATGAAAGCTGCCAGCTGGAGTTCACGTCAACATCCCACACCTCCAGGCCGATGCCGATGTCAGTGAGGCTGTGGCCATGTGTAAGGTTCAGGCTTTACAGTCTCAGGTCTTGAGATGTCTTAGGAGGGTTTCGAGGCCAGCGGCCTCAGAATGCAGGTGCCGAGAATACAGTCATTCACGAGGGAGAGATCTGGCAAGTGAATCCATGCTGTTTTTCTTTCTTCATGTGACCAAATAGGCAATGAATCCCACCAAAATGCATTAAATTAAATGTTCACGCGTTTTCATCTCTAACTTCTTATGAATCGTTCAATGGGCTCTTTGCGATTCTTATCTTGCACGGCTGCCTGGACTTTTGTAAGATGAGGACCTCGCGGCTTTAAAGGGGTCTATGTTGTTCCAGCGGTTGCGATCATTAGGAACACAAATTGCTGTTCCAAAGATTTTTCGAGGCCCAGGCGCCGGCGTAGGCCCCAAACAGTGGTAGGCACTCCAAGAGCACTCCAAAGGCGCCAAAAAACGCGACGACAGAGCTGCATTGGACGAGGAGACTGCTCTGCCGAAGAGAGAGCGCCCCATTTGCCATTCCGCGAAACGCAAATCCCCATTCAGCCATGATCAGCCTGCACGAAACAAGAACCCATCCAAAGAAGACCTAAGCCTAAGCGCAGGAAACCACATGCCTGCTACGCATTCGCGCACGGAACCCAAGCGAGAGAGCGATTTTGGTATTTTGTACAAGACCGAAAGCATGCCATTTGCTGATTGCGAACGAGGATTCCGCACGATTCCGGAACCCCAAAAAACTCGGCGGGCGTGCCAGCCTTGTAGGCCTTGCAAGCCTTGTAGGCTCGAGGGGGCGGCGCCACATGCGGACATTGCTTGGGGAACTAGCGAAGATCATCCCGAGGAAGAAGGCAATGCAAATGTTGTAGCAACTACTATAACTACTCTTGTGCCGGGTAGGTTGGTTGATGTGCAACAACAATGCACACCGACGCTCGCCGAATTGGCTTGAACGAGTGCATTCCAACATTCAGTAGGTGATGTCATGAACTCGTTCGTTTCTTTGCGCATGCATTCCGTTCCGCATCCTTTCATTCACTAGCGGTCTGACACCGAGAAGCTACATCTGGAGCACTACGAAAATGCTCACGGCTAACTCACATGATCTCACATGTTTAGCGATGTCTCGAAGTGCAGGATATGATGCACTATTGAAACGGCAAGTATTCTCATTACCACATCATAAATCAGAAAGCCGTTTTTGTATTGTAGCTCAGTCCTTAAGTTTTTCATAGCTGCGAAGCGAACGACTCAGTTAAGCAATGCAGAGTACCAGGATTGCAGCGCAATGCTTAGCATGATTTATAGCTAGGCTGCTCTCATAGCTTGCTGTGAGCAGGTGCTGTCCGAGGGCCGCAAGAGGCTGGGCTTCGACCAAGCCTGGATGCCAGACTCCGACTTCAAGCGCCTGGGCAATGCCTTGGCGTGTTCCGATACTTCCCAAGTCGGCTCTTCTTACAGCAAAAATGACGATGAGCAAGCTGTTCCGAAAACCAGCTGCTGCCTGACGACTTCATCAAGCATCCTATGGCGTGAGATCCGTTTCGCCAAGGATTTACAACTCAGAGGATGAGGAGGCTGGCCCCTTGAAGGCCCGCGAATGGAAGGTTCAGGAATTCAGGGATGGCATACTTGGGCATACGGATGGTTTAAAGTCATTTTTGTGTTGTGTGGGGTTTGGGAGTTGGGATGAGAGTCGGGCTTCTGTTGCAGGTGCACGTGTCCAGTGTTTTTTTTGCCTAACGTTGGCCCTGGCTTGATTTCCTTGGTAACGTTGGCCCAAGGTCTCCTGGTCCTGGTCCCCCGACCCCCTGGCCCCCTGGCCCCCTGGCCCCCTGGCCCCCTGGCCCCCTGGCCCCCTGGCCCTCCGGCCCTCTGGCCCTCTGGCTCTGGCCCTCTGGCCCTCTGCTCCCTTGGTCCTTTGGCCCTCTGGCCCTCTGGCCTTCTGGTCCCTTGGTCCTCTGGTCCTACGCTCCTCTGGTCCTCTGGTCCCGTGGTCCTCCTCTGGTCCTCTGGTCCCGTGGTCAGATTTTGTACTTATTTATGGATACAATGGTATAGCTAGTTCTGTAGTATCACATAATACAATATCATATTTTAAACACACACACACATATGTATATGTATATATATATATATATATATATATATATATATATATTTATATTAATATTATGATATTATTGTAATATAATAAACATTTCATTTTATTGTAATGTAGCATTCATAATGCACAATACATATTCGTTTTTTTTTATGAGCCGGGCAAGCTTGTTTCAAGGCGTATGAATACCTGCCAAACCCATGATGCGAGCATTGTGTTTGCAAAAGTGGGGGGTCGCGAGCATTGTGTTTGCAAACGGGGGGGGGGGGGGGGGGGGGGGCCGCCCCCCCAACCCCCCCCCCCCCCGCTATTTTTTAAGCCGGGCAAGCTTGCTTCAAAGCACATGAATCCCTTCCAAACCCATGATGCTAGCATTGTCTTTGCAAAATATACATGAAGACACAATAAGATACAATAGTATACAATGTAAAAGCTACAATAATATACAAGAATACGCAATCATATACAACAATATGCAATTATTTACAAGAAAACACAATATACAATTAAAAAAACAAGAAAAACAGTAATATACACCAATATACAACAGTATGCAGTAATATGCAGCAATATCCAATGATATATTCACATTAAACAATAAGAAACAATAAGAAACAGTAAGAAACAATAAGATACAAAAAACCAAGAATATACAATAATGTACAACAAAACCAATTATATACAACAATATACAGTAGTAGACAAAAACATACAATAACATACAATAACATACAACAATAATATGCAATAATATACAATGATGCACAATAATAGTTGTTGATCTACGGGTATCCTCCTTGTATAGTCATGTTGTGCAGACCAGGACTACGACCTGCCGTCACCAATTTGGCTCAAGGCTCAAGATGAAAACAAGCCCGTGCGTGAAGGGCTTTGACTTGAGGTGTGGTTCCTTTGGGGTTCCCCTTCCCTCTTCCCTGTTCTTACCCGAACATCGTGTCATCGCTGTTTTGGGTTAGGTCAACTGGTTATCAGGTCCGTATTGCTTTCATTGCTAAGACCCTAAGTGTAGCTGCCTGAGAATGGATGGACAGTGAGCAAGAAGGCGCTTTTAAGCCTCGAGGTATCCGGAGCAGTCGCTCGGCAAAGCGAAAGCGAGAAGCTTATCAGAGGGCGCAGTGTATTTTGTATCCTGAGCGTTACAGCGATCCTTTGGAGGTTCCTGTGGTGCATCAAGGAGGTCAGAGTCGACCTTTATACTCTCTGACGACCTGGGATTCGCTTTACACCTCGGACGAAGAGGAGGTTGAGGTGGTTCGAGTGATGTCTGAGCCTTCGTCTTCCTCGAAAGCACCTGCGCTCTCTGGTCCTGTTCCGAAGAGACTAGGTCCATTTGGGAAGGCCTCGACCCCTGCTCAGGCGGCTTCCTCCAAGGCGCCGCCGCCGAAGGCTGCGATTTCACAGACTGGAGAAAGCTTCACCGGTTCCGCCTCCTGCAAGTCCGGCTCCTAATCTTAAGACTCCACCCAAGCCGCCTCCTGCAAGTCCGGCTCCTAAGACTCCGCCCAAGCTACCTCCTGCGAAGGGCCCAGGCAAAGGCAAAGTGTCGGGCAAAGGCAAGGGTGAGATCAGCGAGCCAGAGGTTGTCAATCTTCCTGGTATATCTGCCATTGTCAATCCACACACTGGAGAAATCAGCCACTTGGATCGAGCATCTGCGAATCGGATTCCCAAGGCTCTGGTTTTGGACTTCCATAACGTTGTGGATCGCTACTTTCCTGGAGGCCGACGTCGGCCAGTGGGTATCTCCTATCTCAACAAGAGCGGTCCTTATACCGGAGATCTTTGCGCTGCTTGAGCGACTTGCAAACGTGGCTGAGGAAACCGGCGTTTCCATCATCCTGTGTTCGCACGTGCATGCAGAGGACACGGAAGCTTGGGTGAGGGATACGCTGGCGAATTCGGAGAGCGAGTTCAACCTTCCCGGTTTCTCCTTCGGCGTCCTCACACGTGCAAGGACAGGTCCCACAGGGAAATACCAGACACTCCAAGCCGTGAAGCCGAACTTCCCTTATATGTTCGTTGACGACAACGTTGACATCATCGTTGAAGCTGAGCGGGATCATCGTTGCTCTGGTGTTCACATCCAACTCCCTCGCAGGGACGCGCGTCCCACAAAGCGCTCGTACGCCAGCGTTTTTGAGGCTGAGGATCGCATTACCCGGTGGGTGCGTGCTTCGTGAATCACTGCTCTTGTGATTGGTTTGCGTTGGCTCTACGACTTGCGGAAGAAGTTTGGCTGCTCCAAGCGCCTCTCTTCCTGCGTGCCTTCCTTTTGCCTCTGCTTTGTGCAGCTTGATTGAGCTCGCTCGAGACTTACCAATCCTTGATGCGCAAAAGATTCTGAGCTTCAACTGGGTTGCGATCATAACGTCGCCCTCAGACCCTAGCAATCAAGCTAGCTCGGTACTTGACCTATCGAGTGCCTCTGCCACGGCATTGCCAGGTGGTGTTGGTTCAGATAGTGGTTCGGTTACTGGTAGTTCAGCAGTTGAGGTCTGTGAAAGGTCCCCTCCTCTGACTAGACAAGCCTTGTCTAGACCTCGCAAAACTCATGAGCACTCAAGCCCTTACCCTAATCTAACCGCTCAAGCCTCATACAGACAGAACATCCTGAATGTTGGAGCCTCTCCGCAAGAGGTTTTGGATGCACAGCGTTTAGCCGCAACGCAAGCAGCGCAACATTTTGCTGATCATGCTGAACAGTTGCATGCCGCAAGGCTAGAGCATGTTGAGAATGAGGCTAGAGGTTTGGTTGAAGCCACCGTTGATGCCAAGCGCATAGATGAGCATGTGCCGATCTTCACCAGCAAATGTCAGTTTGTCCATGGTCTCGCTGCGTCAGCTGATTCTCTTGACGAGTCGGGTGAGGAATGCCAAGAGCCTTCGAGTCCCGTTGCCCATGATCCAGCTGAAGAGTATGCCAAAGACCTCCTAACAAAGCGTGGTGATATTCAGCCCAATTCGTAAGATCTTTGGACTTGTGAAACGTGGTTCCGCGTCCCGAGGGAACCTGTTCTGTGATGTGTGCAATCAATCCAAGCTCTTATCCAGAAGAGTGTGTCGCAAGCCTCGTGATGAGGACTCTGAGCCCGCGTTGCTTGAAGCCTCGGACTTTGGAGAAGTCATCGCAGCTGATCACATTCATGTGTTCAAGGCACGACTCCAATGCTCCCGGAAGAGAGTATGTTGTGTTCGACCAGTGCCCTGTTCAATGACGTGTTGCCTTTACTTGAAGTTTGGCAAACCGTGGTTCCTGGCACCAGGCTTTTGTGTCATGCAAATAATGAAGCTTGTGTCGCCAATATCCGTAAAGGATATTCAGCTAAGCTGAGAAAGGTAATCCTTTGACGAAGGCCCTTTCAATCCGGAAATGAGCTCACGCACTACAGTTGCTGCGCATTTCAACAAAACATCTGCCAGATGTTCCCAGCCAAGTGTGTTCGCCATCACCTAAAGCTTTGTTACAATTGCCTCCGGTGATAATGTTGCGATGGTTGTTCAGCTGAGCGATGCTTCCATCACTGTGCAACTTGCAGACACTCGGATGCCCAGCGGCCGCTCTCTTCATCCTTGTGTCATCCGAATGAGCTCTTGAAGAACTCGTTCCTAAATCGCTGCCTATCCTCAATCTTGCACTGTGTGATGTCGGTGTTTGGCTGCTGCCTAGCGCCGCACTGACTCTGCGTGAGCACAGCTGTGCTTCTGATTGGGAGTAGTCTTGTACAATATCCGTCATCGTGCTTTTGCAGACACTTGGATATGAGCCATCATCCCTGTGTCGTCTGAATGAGTTCTTGAGGATCTCGTTCTGCACTCCTTGCCTGCCCTCAGCCTTGCGCTGCGTGATGTCAGTGTCCGGCTGCTCCCAAGCGCCGCTCTGACTCCGCCTGAGCACAGTGCTGCACCGGTTGAGAGTAGTTTTGTACAGATTGCAAGTAGAATAATACCTTAAAGGTTTATTGAGTCTGCGTTTCAGCCTGATCACCTGAGATACTGGATTCAATTTGTACATGGCTAAGCTTGTACTTCAATCGACAGTAGGTTTGGCTGCAGACTTGAGCTCGTAGCTGTTGCTTCCTGAAGTCCAGAATCGAGCTTCAAATGAGCTCTAGGACTTGAGAGTCTGCAAACATGAAGGGGGGAGTTGTTGATTTACGGGTATCCTCCTTGTATAATCATGTTGTGCAGACCAGGACTACGACCTGCCGTCGCCAATTTGGCTCAAGCCTCAAGATGAAAACAAGCCCGTGCGTGAAGGGCTTTGACTTGAGGTGGTTCCCTTGGGGTTCCCCTGCCCTCTTCCCTGTTCTTACCCGAACATCGTGTCATCGCTGTTTTGGGTTAGGAAAACTATAAAACAATAAATTTTCAATAACATACAATATACAATAACATTCAATAATATACAACAATATGCAATATTTGTCAAGAGTTCAAGAAAAAGAGACAATACATTAGTTTCAATAATATACAACAATTGACAATAATATACAACAATATAGAAGAATATATAGTGTTTTACAAGAAGATACAATCGTATGCCATAATGCGCTGCAATATTATACAATGAGGAGATACACTTCCTCAAGAAAATATACAATAATATACAATAATATACAATAATATACAATAATA